TTAGTTTCAGTGAGATTAGCCGCCAGGGCCGAAATCACTCATGACAAATTGTTGTCCTCAAAATACAATATAAGAAACTATAACAGAGAAGTAAAATAATGATGTACAATTTCTGATTTGTTTTTAATGTTTTAGTGATGCACTCACTTGGTAACTTTTATAAAAGCCTAATTATATATAAATACAGGTAGAAAATAAAGACTTAGTAGATTTCCTGGTTCTAAGTATAATACTTTATAGAATTATATAACTATAGATATTATTTTAATATAGTATCGATAAGGTACTGTGTTAGCGTATTTCCAGTGGATCAGTAGTATGGGCCAATATAGAAATATTTATCAACATTACTGATTATAAGCGAAATGTTGTAAATATACATAAATAAATAAATATGTTGAGATATTAACACACAGCACCATCTAGTTCCATGGTAAGTTTCGAGGCCTGTGTTATGGAAACCAGATAGCCTTTACTATGATGATACACTACAAATATAGGTACTTATAACTTTAAATACATTCATATTATAAATATAAATACCCAAGAACTAGGTATAAGCATTCGTGCTCATCCCACAAATGAATGCTCTCAACGGGACTCGAACCCGCGACCGCTGGCACAGCAGGAGGGTCATTACAAACTTAACCAAACGTATCTTTATACATTTTTTTTCATATTTCAACTCTAAAAAATTCTCTAAGTTTTTATTTTTACTAAATTGAATAAAACAACTTTGCTTAATCTATACGTAAACTTAGTGGAAACTTTAATTTAAATACTTTTTCTATATTTAATTTATTGTTCTTTAAAAAAAAAAAATTTTTATCAAAAATATTCCGCCGACCCGCATTTGGCCAGGGTGGTGGACTGTGGCCTGATCCCCCTCGTATTGATGGGAGGCCCGTGCCCAGCAGTGGGATGTTAAAAAGGGCCGAGTTCATTCAAAAATATTAAGTTTATCTAAGAGTTTAAATTATAATCGTTTCAAACAATCTTTGTTTAAAATATTACAAAGTAAACAGTGAACAAATTGTTGTATTTTAGTAAACAAAAAACAAAGTTATAACAGATTTCGAAGTCCATGTAATACAAAGCATTGCTTTAACATGCAGCGGACGTAGATTAGAATGAGTTTAGTACAGAGATTTATAATATACTAGCATTGCCCGCGACTCCGCCCGCGTTCAGATGATGAAAAACCAAATCCTTAGGTTTTACATATTAGTATACTCTTAAATTGCAGTTTTTGTATTTTTTCTCAGAAATGAGATATTTTCCCGCGGTAAAATGTATACTATATACTATATACAACATATTCTATATGTTGACCCGGATAACCAGCTATCATCATACCAAATTTCATCAAAATCTGTCCAGTGGTTTTCTCGTGATGCGGTAACAGACAGACAGACAGACACAGTTCAGTTCACCGATTACTCAAAGACGCCTGAACCGATTTGGATTTTTTTTGTTTCAAAGGGTATACTTCCCAGGTGGTCCCATATAAATTTTTATCGAAATCGGTCAAGCGGTTTTTAAAAAAATCAACGATAAATATATATATATTAAATAAATAGTTTAATCGAATATGCTATTACAAAATGTTCTTCTTACAAATTACCTGCTTATTACGTCTACAGCAAAAATGGAAAAATAAACACTTAAAAAAAACGACTTCCAGGCACTAAAATGTAAAAAATAACTAAACGGATGTTTTCATTTAGAATAGATACCTAATCAGATATTTTCGAAGTCAGAACCCAAAATCTAAATAAATCAGCGAAATAATCCAAAAAGATAGTTTTATTTAAAATGTCAAATATTCGCATAAATCTAAGAAAGTATTATGATACTCTTGTTCTTCTGGATTGGCACAACATGTTTCCTTCTTCCATTTTCCTATTTCAAACACTCTTCACGCACGTACCTTCTTTCACACACACACACATTCTCTTTCAGACAGTCCATCCACATCTTCTTCGGTCTACTTGTGCTTCTTTATTCTAATATTTTAATGAAATAATTTCTTTAAAAATATTTTACATATATTAGTAACGAATTAAAGTCACCTTTAGTAGATTGAAAGAAAATATACCTACACCGAGAACAGAAGCTGTTCTCCTCCGCCTATATTATCATTATTTTAGCGATGATTTTAAATTTCTTATATTGATTTTCATTTTGTACTACATCCTTTTAAGTTAATAACTATTTGATAGCTTCTGGGGTACCTTTAATAATTTTGGGTTTTGTTTACATTTAGATTGGAGAATGAACCCTTTCGAGGGTCGGTTTCGGGTTTTGATATCCCGCAGGAAAAATTAAAATTTGCTCACTACTAAGTCAAGAAAAGTTCAAAAATATTGAATGTTAATTATGTTATATTTACCTATAAGCAAAATTAAACTGTTTAGTTTTTGGTAGGAAATGAAAATTATTTGTTGCTGCGATCTTAGATTTCGCTCGCGTTCTCGTGAAATTTATATACAAAATTAAGGGATTTTATAGTCATTTATTCACAGTTTTACTTTATTATATTTTATATATATTATATACTAGCGACTCACCCTTGCTTCTCTTGGGTTCGTGGGTGGGTAATTCTTTGAATTGACATAACTTTTTTTATGAATCAATTGAAATAAAATAAATATTAAATGTCAAGCGAAGCTTACTACAATATATTAGTGAAAACCACACCGTAATCGGTAAAGCCGTTTCTGAGATTAGCGTGCACAAAGGCACAGACAAACAGACAAAAATTCTTAAAATTATTGTTTTGAGTGCTATTGCTTTAAAACAAATCATAGTTTATCTCAAATATCTTCCACGTACAGACAGGGATCAGTTACACTTTTATTATATGTACATGTAGATTACGTACATAATATACTAATTAATAAAAGAGTAAATTAAAATCTTGTTTACAATAATCAAATAATCCCAAAACATTTGAACATCACGTACTGATAATAAACAATAAACAAAGCACTGTAGCTAAAAATAGCTGTTCAAGATCGCCTACTTTGGCTATGGCTAGATTGAACTTTATATGAAAATTTTCCCTTTTTATTACGCTGTTGTATATCCACGTGAAAGAAGCCTAGATGTATCTAGACCTTACGTTATTTACATGAGTAAAAATTAACTTAGAACAATAATAACAAAAACAACTAAAAATTTAATTAATATTAAATCAAAGAGCATTAAATTCAATACTATCTATACTAATATTATAAAGAGGAAAGATTGTTTTTGTTTGTTTGTTACTAAACGAAACTACTGAACCGATTAAGATGTTTAATAAGAAAATAGTTTGAGACCCTGGAAAAGACCTACGATAGTATTAATCCCGGAAACCATCCCTTAAGGGAGTGAAAATGGGGATGAAAGTTTGTATTGAGAAGCAACCTAGGGACGAACCCAAGAGAAGCGAGGGTGAGTCGCTAGTATAATATAATTATGCACATTATATATAGAATATACGAATATATTAATACAGCTTTTGCAGAGACACAATCTGTATAGTATTATTTGAGCAAAAACTGCGATCACTTTTTGAAATGTATACATCGAAAAAATCAAATATACATAATGTTGCATGTTCTATGAAAAAAAACGGTACTTTCTGTTAGTATAAAATCCGTTTGATGACTAAGTTATTGTTGAAATTACGCACAGAATCAGAAAAAAAGATATCTGTCTCATTAGTAAAATGAAATGTTACAGTCATGTCGAATAAAGCTCCCCCGCCTTATTTAACGCTTACAATATGTTGTTCGAGCTTTCAGCGAAATATTTATATTCATACATTCATTTCAATACTAAAAAGCTCGCTATTAATTAACAACTACTGACTCAAAAATTCATCCGACTGACGGAGAAAATTAAAATAATCAAATGCTTTTTTCTAACAAGTTATCTTACTCGTAGACTTTATTTCATGAAATTATTATTAGAAGTTGTTTATTGTAATAGTTATTTCGCAAAAATAGTGTAATTTAAGTAGGCGTTTTAAAAATATATTTCTGAAACACGAGCAATATTTGAATAAAGTCATAAAGTAATTCAGAGATTACAAACACAATTTTTATCTAAAAACATTTAGTATAGTTACGGGTATTTAGTTATTTCCTACATGACGCATGACTGGTTTTTTTGATTGTATTTGCACATTTTTTTTATTATATATCAGTAAAAAGTATATTTTTATTTGGCATTCAATAGTAAGTTATTTTTTTTTATTACACAGAAAAAAAATCGATAGAAAAAAAAACAAAAAGAAGCTAAATATGCCTTATAATATATTCTAGTGATCTTCTACAACAACCTTAATCATAAAAACCTTAGGCAAAGAACGTTTAACTAAAGAAGTATTTCTTGAACATGAATGCTGTATAAGATGACTTAGTACTAAAAAGTTACTCGATTATTGGAGAAGATGTTATTTCATTGTTATTTAGAATTAATTTTAAAAATTTAAAATGTACATGCAAAAATGAGAATACTGTTCATATGTATTCCAAAAGAAAATTTATTCTTTGAACACAAATGACGTGTGAGCTATATATTTTAGTTTAAAATACAAGATTGATGAGCTCTACCATACAAGTAGAGCGTTTGAAAATCAAGTCAATACAAAGATATGTATGTATTACGCTCACAAGATTGATGTTAAAACTAGTAAATTAAATGATTCATTTTAGTTTCAATAAAATATTTTTATATGAAAAATCTCGTGACTTTTACATAGCTTAGGTATTTTAGTACGTTTTGTGAAATAAAATTAATAATTCACGAAAGCACAATTAAATCAAAATTAATTATTGAACAGCGTATATTTAATCTTTAATTTTTCCCTCAACATACATTTGTAAACATTCAAATGCATATATCATATACACATTAAATTAACCAAAAAATATATAAAAACACCGAAACTCTACATTCAAATCAAACGTCTTTGTTATGAGTAGGGCTTAAAAAATCTAAATACTAACCTATTTTGGCTGGATTACTTAAAACAGCTACAAACAGCGTACAGAATATTATTATAGACGCTTTCCAATCCATTATTGCACTTAAAAAATTCACTTTTCAAATGAATGTCACGCGTCTCATTCTACGAGCGGGTCTCGTAGAGCTACGGCGTAGACGACCGTCCGACGCAACGGCGCCCAGACTACTGAGCTACATTGGTTACATTTGGTTGTTATTGATTCTTTTAAATGTTATTTTTGATGATTTAACACTCACATATTATTTTATATTTATTATTTTATACATAAAATAATTTTATTATATATTTATATTACTTGTATATTTAAATGAGGACACGTTTGGCTCAGTTTGTAGTGACCCTATTTGGTGTGCCAGCGGTCATGGATTCGAGTCCCGCTGAGGGAATTCATTTCTGTGATGACCACGAATGCTCGTACTCCAGCCAGTATTTATATTTATATTATGTACATATATTGTATATATTTAAAGTTATAAATATCTAGCGTATAGCACCATAGCTAACCGCAGAACTAGATGGTGCTGTGTGTTAATGTCAAAAAAATCGACTTAAATATTTAGTAGCTTTAAACATAAGCAATTTCTTATACATTAATTTATTACTGCATAGATAACTCGCTTGATAAATAATGTTAATGACTTTTTATGTGGTGATTTGGTAAAACCACTGCTCTTATTGAGATTCTTATCTGGCTAACGTTTATAAAATATCTTGTTTCGTTTACTGATTGACTTATTTATTTCCATACACAGAAGTTGCTATATTATATTTTAATTTATTTATTTATAAAATTTTATTGCACATAAAAATGGTACATTAAAAAATACAATTAAAAAGATGTGCAAAGGCGGCCTTATCACTAAAAGCTATCTCTTACAAGCAACCAACAGAAAAGAAAAAGGTGCATAAAGTGTTTTACATGTAAATATTTACTATTAATATAGTATAATGCACGATATTTGTTGGAGTCTCAATATGCTTAACAATATAATGCAGGTATCACTAAATGCAGGATTATACGAAGAATATTCACATAAAAGATTATACTATATTGTACAGTAATATAATATATATATATATATATATATATCACATAAAAAATATAACTAAATAATCAACAGTGTGTAAACACGGTGGAGAGTGTCGCTATGAACTCTTTAAAGCAAAGAAAAATCTGTGATGATGACAGTAAATTTTAGAAGGCACAGTGACTCAACAATTCACTATTGAAGTATCTGACATCATCTTATGTCACCTGTCCATCTGCAGTTTTCCTTACTGGAGATAGGACGTAAGTTCCGTACAAATTATGTTAAATTCCTATCTCTAGTAATGAAATAAACAGATAGATAGGTTATTGGGAACCGTATTCAGCCATCCATTTCTGTAGACATTTTTATTTTTTTGGTTAAGTGAGCAAAGAGGATATACTAAATTAGCATATAAATTAAAATATAAATATATATAAATTAAATCTAAATTAAAGATAGTTCTTTAATCCACGTATGTTTTTTGTAATCTGATACTTGATTATCATAGTGTAAGTGCTTGCATTCATAATTTATTAAAAACCCTGATAATCTATTGTCTTATTAAAAGTTTAGTTTAAAGGATGTGATATACAAAAACAATTAAGTAAGCAGTCAATTACTATAGTGTAGTTAGCTGATTTCGAATTATAATATTTTAATATAGATTTAAAACATACGTATGTATGTATAATGATAATTGTTTTTCTAAATCATAATAATCGTATTATAATATGTATATATTGTGATATTTAACAAAAGTATAATCTATTAATATTAAACAATAAGTATCTACTTGTATATAGGTATAAGTAATATTTTTTATTATATAAAGATAACTAAGAACATATGAAAACTAAATATTTAATTTCGTCGGCATGATTTGATATACTTAACAATTTATAAAGTTTTAGTTTCTTTACTCTATCATTTTCTAATTATATTATTTACTAGCGACTCTTCGGGTTACATTTTAATATTTAGTATAGATTTCTCAGAGATGAAATATTTTCTCACAGTAAAAAGTATTCTATATGTTGATCCGGATAACCAGCTATCATCATCATCCATCCAGTGGGTTTTCTGTGATTCGGTCTCAGACACACAGTAAGACAAAAAATCTAAAAACTATAGATTCGGCCTCTGTATCGATAATAATGTTTATTTCAATAAGATTTTCCAAAAAATATTTAATATACAGATTCGGCTTAGTTACTATTTTATTATATGTATAGATTTTACCAGACTTTTTTATCTATTTACTTTACCGTGTCAAATGTTTTAGGTTTGATGCCTGTAGATGGCGACTGTTTGTATTGAATAGGCATATATTTGTTTTCCTCATTTGAAGACTGAAGACATTAGGGAGCGAGAGAAACTAAGTTCGATATGAATATCCCACAAGGGAAAATGTAGTGTGAAACTATAGGAATATTTTCTAATATAAGCGAATCCCTTTCTATTAATTATTATCATATTTGCGTACGTCGCAAGTTTCAATTTTATTGTATGGTTTAATTGAAGTATATATTTTTTTATTTATTTAATCATTTATTTCAGGCAATATTTACATAAGGATCTTAAATATGTAAACAGAGGCCCATAGCATATATACCTTAAAACTAACATATATATTAATATATACAATACATAATATATACATATATAGTAAAAAAATAGTATAATATATATGTAAAAAATACGTTTCAGTAAATTTATAACTACCAGTTATAAATAATATATTTTCAACGAACAAAGGATAAAATAAAATACTTTAAATCTGTTGAATTTAAAACTTTTCTTTAACAATGTAACAGTTCAATTTTACTATAAAATTTTAATTAAAATTTTATAGTAAGTTTCAGAGTTTATCCCTAGTAGAGTTAAGAGGACATTCCACTCTTTTGTCCACTTTATATAACGCCTGAGAATTTTTTCATTTTAGATTTGGCATTTGAAATAAACAAATGCTACCATAGTATTTTCTTAGATTTACGTAAATATTTGATATTTTAAAATAAAACTATCTTTTCGAATTTTTTTGGGGATTTATTTAGATTTTTGGTTTCCGACGTTTCGAATGCTTTACAGCAATCGTGGTCACGGGAGATACTAAGGTTTTAGATGTCTCAAAGATCACTATTTACTTGTAACAGACAGTACCTACTCACAATTTCACAAAATAATTCCGAAAAAAATACAAAAATGGCACCAACGTACCTTGTAATATTAGTAATAAAATATATTTATAAACATAATTATAAATGTTATTGATTAAATAATAAATTAAATAAAAAATTAATAACAATTTACGAATCATAATAAATAATTTCAATATTTATAATTTACAGTCCATATAAATTGTGATAATAATCCAAGTACCTAACGGCGATTAAAATCACAGATTCTGTATACATAATATATATACTTTATACATAATATATTATATATACGTTAAAAGAGCTGAATTTTATTTATCAAAAATAAGTAAATGACCGATTTAAATATATACATATTTTTTTCATTCTTCGCCAATTTTTGACCGTTTTGTTGCCGATGCTTAACGCTGTATACTGTGTGGCTAACCGGATCCGAATGAATACAAATATGTATGAACAGTATAAATATTTTTCTAGCCCCCATAATGACTGGTAAAATAAAATATACGGTTTAATTCATTTTTTTAATTAACTTAGCCTTATAATTTGTCCCTTATATGAGGGTATATGGAACCCCTTGGATATTCTGTCTTTATAGGAATATGTGTGAGCCTTTTTTGACGTCCCACTGCTGGGCACAGGCTTCCCTTCAGTACCCCAGGCCGTAGTTCACCACGCTGGGCAAGTGCGGGTTGGCGCACTTCACATGTCTTTCGGAAACTTTGAGGTTCTTTCAACATGCAGGTTACCTCACGATGTTTTCCTTCACCGTAAGACAAGTTAATCATGTTGGAAATGATTTGCACATAAAAAAATAGGAATAAAGTGCCTTTTAAAACTATATATCTTCGAAACCTTTGATTTAAGAAATAATATGAATGATATGTATGATAAAATATTAAATAATATTCGATTTATTCAGAAAATGATGCTGGAAATTCTGATAAAATTCTGGACTTACCAACTTATTGAATGGAACATTAAATTTGTATGTATATTATATATCTCTATTTTTAATGCTTATTTCAGTATTTTTAAATCTGTGGCTGTAATTTAAAATGTTTATAAAAATTGAATAATCCCTACTGAAACTAATTACGAGTATATCCATATATATATACAGATAAATGAAATTAAGCTTTTGTGTGTTTTGTGTCAAAATAAAAACTTTTTACTATATACATACTAAGCATATGAAATTATATACCATAGGTACTTATAAGAAACACACAATTTTTAAAATTTTGGTTGTCAGTCTGTTTGTTCCGGCTAATTTCCAAAACGAATAGATTAATTTTAACGAAAATGCCACTGTCTGATAGCTAATGTTATAAGGAGTAACTTAGGCTATTTTTAATTTAGAAAAAGAATGAGGGTTCCGCTAAAAATTTAACTGACCCACCCGAGCGAAGCAAGGGTTAATTGCTAGTTGATAATAAAACCCTGATAGTATAAAGCTTAGCTGGCTTTGTACTGTAATATAAAACCACAGAATTCTGATATTTTTTCTCATACACGCCCAGAACTTGATTCCATTACATTTTATCTATACTTAACCTGGAGCATATGGTACATACATCTCACTATAGCATAATCTAATATCGCTTATGTTTGTACGTGGGGCATAAAGGCATTTTTATATTCTAAGCCAGGGGTTGTAAGATGTTAGAGAATAATTTTGGATATTATTATTTATTTACACAATTATTGTTTTACGCGACAGGTCGGGTTTTACGGTACCTTATCTTTATTTGGGCGAGGACCGACTCTGAATCTTTTTGAATTGATATGAATACATGGTTTTTGTTGGTGACAGTTTAATATTAAATGATGATTATATCATTTACTAGCGTTGCCCGCGGCTCC